TTAACTCTAACCCTGTATTTATTAAAAGAAAATACAACACCATTATGAATTATATGATAGAGCAGTGTTCACTGTTTCACAGATCTTGAAAGAAAGAACTCACCATGCCAGGATGAATTAGCTGGATATTGCTTCTGTTAATTTTTACTTTATTATCCTTAACATCACAGCAAAAACAAAAAATGTTTGGCCCATCCACATTGTTAGCAAAAACTGCAGTATTTTACAATAACTATTAAGGTGTTTATTTTGCTTGTGAACAACCCGGATGTCCATTTACATGGACAGAGTATTGAAATATTCTAAATAGAAACCTCTTTTTGAGAAAGCTGTTTCCATATGGGGCGTTGCATGTATTTATGATACTAATTAACAGTTAATCTACTGGTCTGAATGCAAACTGCACATACTCAACCAAAAGTTCCACACAGTACTTACAACTTAACTTACACTAGCCAATTAAACAGTAAACCAACTACAAACACACTTTAAAAAATAACAGCCTACCATCTTCTTTGGTCACTGGCTACTTAAAAGAGCAATAACCCACTTTCAACTGCTCTAATATATGAACATAACAAGCCTGATGGAGGAAAAGCCTCTCCTTTGCATCATGATGTTCGTCATCTTCTCCTTATCTTTTGTTTTCATATGAATCAGAATACTTTACATAATACATAGTGCATTACTTACATAATGGCCCTACTACTATACATTTCATTGCAAAGTCAGTTATCCTCCAGTATTTAACTCAAATGCTCTTTCTTTTATGCTAGTACTAAGTTAATTAAAGTTTTTATGATGCAACCAGTGTAAGGCCACATTCAGAAAAACCTGAGACCTGTGAAAAAAGCCACCCTCTCATTAATTTGAATGATGACAATTCATTGACACAGCTTGGGTGCCAACTCACAGGGCACTGGAAAGGTGTTTCCACCATTATTTCCAGAGTTGTAAAATCTTGTCTGTGGGTAATACAAACAGTTGTTCAGTGTTTCGGGATCTCATAACTTAAGCTTTTAAACACATGAATCTGTTCATTCCAACTGAAATTCAAACAATTCCCACTAATGTGGAATACAACATGGCATGAGTAAAAAACCTAATAACAAATGTAATTACAAAATGCTTTTGGACTATTAATTTGTTTATATTCAGTTCATTAATATAATAATATCATAGTCCATATACATAAATATTGTCACTTGGCCATCTTTGTATTCCATAGTGTTTCAGGGAATTTGAAAAATGTCTGTTTGAAATTTTATTTCATTATGGGACTTTGTTTTTTCCCAGAGGCACAGCAGTTTTCATTATTTGAAATCTTCCAGTAATTAAAATCACAATCCCCTTCATATATAGCAGATTATGTGCAAAGAAACGAGTCACTGTACTGTTAATGCCATAAAGCAGTGGCATTAACAAGCCTTTGTTACTACTCACAACCTTGACTATAAAACTTGTTTTTTTTTGTAGACAATCACAGAGGTAATAGATAATGTGATGAATAGCCCTTCACAATTAAGTAGGACACCGTTTAACTTCCTCACTTTCAATAAAAACTACTGTCTTGTACAAACGGCAATTGTGTCCAAACAAATAATTCTTTAAAATTGTTCAACATTATTTAAGAATGTGTAGGTGCAGACATAAAAATACACATGCTACTACACAAGATAATCACATGCAGACTATACAAAGATACCAAGAGATTCTAGATCCAAAAAATAAGTTCACAATAATTAATACACTCTTGTTTGGAAATTGAAGCAGAAAGACAAGTTTTTTTTCACCACAGGCACCAAAAAGTACAAATTCATTACATTCAATACTGAAGTGTCACATTTAACATCTGTTTGCTTTGAATGCTATCACAAGTCTTGTGAGTGTTTTGAATGATTGTAGATACCCCTGACGTCTTTGGCAGGAATAAATAAATGCAAATGGCTGCTTACATAAAATTTTCTTTTACATGTTATTGTATCTAATTATAAACCTTGATATATGACCAAGGTTCCTAGATGGTCAGTCAGCCAGAAAATCACGGGAAGAGAAAAAATCTGTCAGAATGTATAATAGATAATAGCGTCCCAAATGAGCGGCAGTATTCAATGAAGAATTCAAAAAGCGGTCAAATCAGGGTCACGAAGCAGCCTTGCTACAGAATGTGTTCACACTTTAGACAGACGGACACAAAAGGGAGAAATGAAACCTTTTTGAGAGGTCAAGGTGTCAGTGCTGGATGCATTAACACAGCTGAATGAGTTAGAGCATAAAAAACAAGGGTGTGAGTACAGTGCAGACTAACAGGTGTTATCAACTCTTATCAACCATGTCTGGTGCCATCTTGGAGGTCCCCTTTACAGTAGAAATGACAGTTTTTTTTGTGATTCCTGTGGTATTTTTTAAATTATCAAATATTTAGAAGCATTGACCTAGTTGTGGTCTAACTACTCATAACCTAATTTGTGTGATTCTGATGATTCTTGTATGACAGTATTTGACCTCAGCAATTCTCATGAAACACCAGTCACATGAGAATTGTCACACAAGGGTTAGAATGCTTGAGCCCCATTAGTCAATAGAAGGGTTGCAGCCATTTGGATAAGTGACAAAAGGTCTTCGCAGACCTACAGAATGTTATTCGACAACAAGATTGAAGGTGCACCTTTATGACAAGTGCCAAAATCTTTTAGTCCTGGCTGAGCCATATTTTTGTGCATCAATGCACAAATGCATCAATGAGCCTTGGCCACCCATGACCCTGTCTCCAGTTCACCGCTTTCCCTTCCTTGGACCACTTTTGATAGGTACTGACCACTGCAGACCAGGAACACCCAACAAGAGCTGCAGTTTTGGAGATGCTCTGACCCGGCCCCTTATGCTTACCCATTTTTCCTGCTTCTACTTTGAGGACAAAATGTTCACTTGCTGCCTAATATATCCCACCCACTGACAGGAGCCATGATAATGAGATAATCAGTGTAATTCACTTCACCTATCAGTGCCCCCAATGTTATGGCTGATCGGTATATATACATTCTTGTATTTTATGGCAATTTACTCAAAATACATTTTTAATGGTACATTTCATTTGTCTCCACCCAGTGGCTCACAGCCTTAATGAATGCCGGCTGATTTACAGTGGCTCTGACTAGGACTATTCCCAGGGTGAAGATATACAAAATCTTTAGTCAGGGACAGCCCTAATCGGGAAATCCCTAGTATGAAATGTTATTGTGGCTCATTAGTACTTTGTTGATCAGCAGTCATCAACGTGCTGCTGAGCTGCAGATAAAATCATTTCGTAATCACGAAAAATAAGCAGTATTACAGGTTGAGAGGAGCAGCTGTGCCATGAGATTAGCTTTATTCACATTTAAAATGAGTGACCTCAGAGAAATTTAGAAGCACAATCAAATACAGCCAAAAAGGATCCGTTACCACATGTGAGCCACTGTATTTAAGCTTGTAACACAAAAAATGTGAAAGTGTGGCAGATGAAGGACAGATGTTCTACTTCAGAAATGCTTCCAGTGGACATTGGAAAACCGCAATGGAGCTGGAGCGCAGCTGGAATGTTGTGTAGCCAGACACATTTGTGCATTTTGTGTACAACATGAGATACAGATAACTGATTTGAAGCACTTCCCACTTACACTTCCTCATTACAACCTCAGGATTTAATTGTACACGATCCTAGCAAACAGATGTTATTCAAAGTGACAACCACAGTTGGTTTATCTTTAAGTTTTAACTTTCCAGATACGTTTCAACTAACTTAACTTCCACCACTTGTTGCCACCTAGAATGGAGGTGCACCCTTTGCACCCTTGAGGCCATTTCTTTCTTATTGACTGTGGCAGGTTTCAACTAAAAACGACATCCTGTTGCTTCTTGTTTCTTCGTAGGTGCATCTCTAAACACAGCCTTAGGTTCTGTCCACACCAAGAACAATCACTATGAATATATCGTTTTAAAAATAGTTTTAACACAAGTGGATGTGTATACCTTCCAATGCAAGAGAGCTTCCACCAAAAAAGATTTATAAGACCCTGGCTGTCAAAGTTCTTATGAACATGATAGGATCAGTAATAAACTGCCATTGTAGACATAAGGACCTCCAATATGGCTGCCATTTAGTGTATATGTAGTTAGTTTCACGTAACCTTCCCTCTTTATTTCATGAATGGTTGGGGGGGGGGGGGGTTTAGATCGTGTGTAAAGTGTAGAATTCCAACCAAAGTTTTTTTTTAGTACAATACCCTGCAATAATTGTCCTAATAGTTGGTTCACAAAGACAGATTCACATTATCACTTGTAATCTAACCTTTAGACTACAGCAGACAAACAACATGTTTTGGGACCAATGCAGGCCCTCTGTTTTTCCCATTTACTGTACACTTTAACTACACAAGACTGTTCATAGAGAGATAAAAAATTAAATAAAAAGCAAAACACTGTTATCTGAGATTTACATGGCACATTCATAACAGGCTCATGAGATATTTATATATATTTACATACAGGTTTTATAAGGTATGTCATGGAGCAGGACAGTAGCCTGTTATCAATGCAATATCAACCTATTCTAACTGATTTATTATGCACTAGCCAACAAGATTTGTTTTCCTTCTATTCATAATTACAGTTCCAAAATCACAACCTGCTTCCGTTTTTAACTTGGCACAATATGTGCAACATACATTGTGTGCCTTAAAGGTGATAAGTAAAGATTAGCAACCAAAATAAGTATTCTATTTTCACATTGGTCATTTAATTGTCCATTTTCATATTTGTTACAGGAGCAAACACTGCGAGGTAGCTTGCTGCACTAATTGTCTTTAAGTGGTGCAGGACAGTTAAAAGGACAAATCCCTGCTCTACATCAAATTTTTGTCCCTTGTTTTCTTTGCCATTTTTGTTGTTTTTTTTTTGACAGGATTGAAATTGCCTCAGACAAATTATACATAAATGTCAGCTTCGGAAACAGGCTCAGGTGACCCTTGTGGTTTACTTACGCTCAGTGAAGGACTTAAGTTTGAATGAAGCAGGCAATTTTCTTGAAATGTAAACACCTTGGCTTATCACCTAAAAGAATCTGTCTGTCTCTGTGTCTTTTTCAAATAGACACTGCTGTCACACCCCCACTGCTGCAAGATGCCTTTTCCAGGTCCTCCATGACCAAGTCCTGTTCAGTGACATGGTTGAGTCGCCTGGAGGTGTTCTTATCTAGGCTGTTGAGAGAAATAGGCTCCAGGGAGGTTTGTGCATTATTTGCTGGGAGCACAGAGTTTCCCTGCAGCCTGTGTGAGTAGGTTTTCCTCCGCTGTCCGTCCGCGGTGCACAGGCTGAACTTGAACACAGCTTGAAATCCTCTGCGGAAATTCTCATTGAAGAAACCGTAGATGATGGGGTTGACACTGCTATTGAAGAAGGCTAGCCAGTGGGCAAAGGGGTAAATGTAAATGTTGATGATTCTGTACTGCTGCTCAGTCAGGCTGGCATAATCGCTCAACATCATGAGGGACCACAGAGGCAGCCAGGAAAGAATGAAAAGCAAAGCAACTATAAGAAGCATTTTAATCACCCTTTGCTTTTTCTTTGACACAGTGTGGCGGTTGTCGTGGCCCGGCTTTCCTCCCGTTGGAACAGCTGTTTTGAAAAGTGTAATGCCAATCCGGGCGTACATGATCACGATGAGGGAAAGAGGAGCAAGGTAGATATTTGCAAACAGGACAGTGGTGTAAATCTTTCTCATCTCCTGGTTTGGCCAGTTCTCTCTGCACCAATAAAATGGGCTTGTTTTGTTGTCATAGCCCAGTAATACCCGAATGGTTTGCTCCTTGGTCACTTGTAGCATCACTCCAGAGGGGCACATGATGGATATGGCCAGAACCCAGATAATGACTATTATCAAGGTGGCTGTGGATATGGTCAGCTTTTGCTTGAATGGGTAGACAATGCATCTGAATCTGCAAAAGGATTAAAAAAAGGAAGATACATGTCCACAAGAGATTAATTGACAGTAAGGAACATATACTTTAAATTGCTCACAATATTATAGTATTTTTTAATGGGACAGATCCAGGTTCTAATCATATGGATAAAGGACTGCACATGCAAATAATAGATGTGCAGATCAGTTTTTATGTAATAGCAAAGCAACAAAATGTAAGCAAATACACAAATAATATGGCTTTTTAAATATTACAAATATGTTCATTTTGAATAAAGAACACTGCCATTACTGTGTTTAATTCCCCTTTTCTTCACTGTGTAGATCTATTTTAAAACAACAGGAGCATAATTAACCCAGCTCCCCTTATTAACTTCATTGTAATCAGTAAGTATACCTGCATCTGTTTTAATAAAAGGCACATAATGTCCACGCCTAAATGTGCACAAAAGCTTTTTTGGTGCTTAAAGCCCACAGAGACGTAGCACGCTGTTTTTACCAAATGATGATAAATAGCTTATTAAAAACTTGAGATTTTCAATGATTGCTCTTTTGAAGTTCTGTGATTTAGTTTTTCTTCGAACACCACTACTTTCTAATTCTATTGTACATTTGGATATTCATGAATCAGCTGATATAGGCATATTTTTTTCCTTTTTTTCTGTAAATGATGTTTCCCTGCAGTCTGTGACAGTTCAACCAGCAGCAGTGCTTCTGATGGTGGCAGCCACATTAAAGTAAGAGCCTGGTGACCTCCTCTAGTAGCTGTGACTCTGCTTTTGGGGTGGCTAATAGGCTTTTTGGCCTTCCTTTTGAAGTCAGACCCATATTTCTTTATATCTGTCACTATGCTGTGCTGAAAACATATATGACTAACCACATGAGTGAGCCTCTGGACAATCTTTATTTGTTTGTTGTGTTCTTTTTAAATGCCACTGCTGAAGCCTTCAAACAACTGCCATTCTTCTGCAGGGTCTTTTCTCACTAGTCTGAAATGGGGGGGTGGGCGTGGTTTGCAGCTCAGCTGCAGGAGAGAGGTGTGGGGAAGGCTTGGGAGAGCGGCACCAGGTGAGTTGATCACCTCACCTGCTGATGATTAATTAAGGACCCTTATCTTGGCAGTAGTGTGCTGGACCCAGGAAGACGCTACCAGGAGTATCCTGCGACCAAGAGCCAGAACCTATGCTGCCAGCTGTCGTGGATTGTGAGCAAAGCTCGTAATAAAAGTGGTGTGTGTACAACGTCGGTGTGGTTACTTGTGTGCTGAGGAAACCCGTCTGTAGCTCGACTTGCTACAGGTTGCCATGGGCCTAGAAAGTACTTGAAAGTGCTTTGATTTACTGAGCAATAAATAGGTCTTTAAAAGTGCTTGACTTTAGCCTACCGGCATCTCTGAGTTTGAGCTGGTCATGGCTGAACTACCAGTGGTAGACTAAGCAATTTAATTTAAAATAACTTTTGTGTAGTTTATGAATGCCTCATCAACACACATGTGTGTGAAGCGACATGTTAACAGTGTGAAAACACAAAGGAGTAGCCAAGGACAGGATAGCTAGACCCCAGAATCATCCTCATCCTCATCCTCACCCTCACATATAATATGACTTATTCAAGAATGTCTATTTGTGATACATGTGAGTATGTTATGCCTTCAAATTATCACAAAATGCAACCTCAGTCTGTACCTCAAAGTTGTATTTAAGAAGATTACTTGAGTAAAGTACTAAGATATATTCTACCATGGTGAGGGAGAAAGGTCATGAAGGACACAAACTTTCAAAAGGTAGACAATACCACTGCTATAAAAATCTATGCAACTGTAAAACTCAAATGTCTAATTATTGGTAGAGCTGGTAGATTTTACTGTGAAGCAGCTGTGTAGGTGTGTGACAAGTTAAGACACTGAGGGGAAAAATACAAACCCTTGATTTAAAATCTAGTTTTTGCACATGTGGCACTTTTTTGTGAGCAGGTCAGTTTGAGACATTGCAGGGAAAAGGATGGAAATCATTACAGCTTAGACTAAACTGCTGATTTCCACGTTAGGCAGGAGGTGGATTGTGTCGAGCTTTCACTGAGAAAGAATCTTGTGATTGTGACAAACACATGCAGAGACATCCAGACCAAGAAATCGATTTCAATTTAGTTAGTGTTAATGTTGACATTAGAAAATGGATGAAAGGGGGATTTTGCTGGCCACTATGAGATGTCAAACGAAACGGGGGTTTCCAACAAACTGTTCTAGTGTAGTATCTCGCTACCCCTTTTTAAATGCTAAAGCTTTAGGTTACTTAACTTTGGTTACATCAGTGACATCGTAACATTAGGCATGTTAGCAGGCTAGCAAGCACACACCAGATTTGACAATGACTTTGTAAGGGTTAATGGCTTAAAAGCATTAAAATGATTATAATATCTAACATAATCAAGTTCTTTATAAATGAACTAACTTCACACATAATTAACAATCAATGAATTAGCAAGTAAAACCAGGAATAACTATAAATGAATACAATTAATACTGTAATAAGCGAATATAAATGCATGATTGTGAATACAGCCCCAACAATCAATGATTGAATGGAGCAGATATATCCGATGCAGCAGTAAATAATACTAAAATGTCATAGTTTGTGGATTAATAAATGGAGGCAACTTTAGGATTTTAAGGATTAACCAGTGAAATCACCTCAATCACCCCACCCATTCAAATCCAATCCTAATCATGTGTCTGATACTTTAGATATGTAAGGTGACTTTGACTTTTGGATGTCAAAGAACTTAAAACTCCATTTGTCCTTTCCAAAGGCACAGACACCCTCTAGTGATTTCAGATTGTGACAGAATGACATTACTGCACGTCTAATGTCTTAGGACTAGGTGGTGATAAAATACCAGCTCATTTTTACTGCTTGGAGAACTGTTGTAACTGCATGGGATGTGTGCATTCGCTGGGCTCTAGTATCAGCGACAAGTTTGTTCCCATCTGTGAGAGTCTGCAGCCATCTCCAAAGGTTTATAGAGCGATTAAGCAGGATTAACATCCAACTGTTGACTTCTCAGTGAACAGAAATTGGGCAATTCATCATGATCGTTCAAAAGAGAACAAGCACCAGATAAAGATGAGAAAGCTGTACAATTTTGCTAACTTGTCTTTCTTGCTAAGTGGGGGAAAGTAAAGGCAAAAAGGCCAAATATGTATAAATTTTGGTGGTTTGTTCTCAAGATTTGTTAACATTGTGGGACTTGCAAAATATCTAGATTTAAAAATTCTAAACATAAATGGTTTTGTATTGTATGTTGAGCAGGGAGCTTCACTCACTAGCTTGGTAACACACTATTTTTTACACTTTATTCTTTGAGGTTCACTTACAAGAACTGAATTGGGTCATTCTGACCCACTCCATGCATAGTTGCTGGCAATTGTTGTTCCCTTTACTCGCGCAAATTTGAGAATAATAATTATGACATTAAATTTACTTGAGGAAGCATTTTAGATTTGACAACATGGATGGAAAAATGTGGATAAAAGCTGTTAACTGACTTAGTAAAATGTAACTGCCTTACAGTAACGTTGACTTGTCACTTCAGTGAGGTAACAAAAGAATACCAAATCACCTTCTAGCTTTTTCTGGAGCTTTTAACCATATGTGTTTAGAAAATGTTATCACACAAATTAATGCGACATTGCAGCCTTTTGCAAGGTTATGCTCTCTGATCGGTTGCTGGTTTTTCACACAAAACACTTTTTTAAGGTGCAATTCAAGAGTAACAGGTGCTGGAAAAAGGAAATGTACTATTATTCTGTATGTAGCAGTAGTAGTAAAATACAACCACTATACCTGTCAACAGCAATAGCGACCAGAGTAAAGACGGATGCTGACACAGAGATCCCTTGGACCATGCCGCTCATTTTGCAGACCAGGCTTCCAAAAGGCCATCCTGTTGATAGGAAAGATGCATTCAGCTTATTTAGTGCTAAGACAACAAGTTCAGACAAAACAGTGGTTCATGTATGAATGCAGACTTCCTTAAACAGATTCACAAACACATCAGTGTACAGGAAGAGCTGAAGGGATTTTGACATAATATCATATCTAAGTGTGTTCTTTGGGAACAGTCCTTAGCTGGTGACTTGTAGCAGAGGTGCTGACAATGTAGGTGTCTTTTTGTGGCTGCCTGAAAATAACAAATAATCAGACTCTCATCAGAACAACCCTGGGTTTTTGTAACACATACTTGAGCATAATTGTCATACACTTTTATAATAAAGGTTGACTGGGTAGTATTTTCACTAGATTTTTGGAGCAACGGTGCTTTTGTATGCGCTGTTGAGCATGCAACACAGGCCCTTATTCATGGTCATCGGAATAGCTTAAGATTTTAGTGTTCTGCCTAGGTTTGTGGAAGACGTAGGTGCAAATATTCTGTCGGGGGTTTTGGGTCTTCACAAAATATGCAATTTCGCATAATTTTTTGTATTTTTATTGCCATATTTGTGTACAAAGGTTGGAAAAGCTAGAGCTGATAACAAAAAAACAACACCCAAAAGTCAACAGTGGCTTCTACACAGTTACAAACATTTTCTCAAGCGAAACAGTGACAGGCTACAGTACTTTTAAACTATGTGTTGGCATTTCTTCAGAATTCTTGTTTATAAATGATTTAAATTATGTGATGTGTTGGTATCAAGCTCAACTCATTATCTCTGTAACCAACACAGCAAAGAGTGCAGCTCAGTGAGTTTGTCATAGGAAGCCTTGCAAAAAGGGAGGAGTGTAACAGACAATTATAATCTAGTTTGACTATCCGGAATTAACATTATATCCAACAACGTCTTTCTGACCTAGTCGCAATTACATTTTGGATAGTCGAAATTGTCATTCAAGATTCTGTAAGGATGTGATCTAGTCTAGTCCCTAGCAAGAACTGAATTACAGATATCTGCAATGAAGTCATTGAAAATGACATTCACGTCAGACCATCCTAAATGACATTGGGCAGATCTGTATTCAGTTTTGACTAGGCCAAATGAAGTTAAAGATATGCTTCCCAACTATTATGACCTGTGCTAATTTATTTGTGCATGCGTTCATGTGTTGTCACGGGCTGCAAGGCATTAAAAAAGAGCGGATTAAAAACCCCTCCCTTCGCCCCTCTGGCTGCTCCCCGACATGGTACTAATTAACTTAACAGTTAAACGGTGCTAGTTCTATTGATTTGATGATTCTGAACAACAACATGGCTCCTGCCTCCCCGCCCTAAAGTGGGATGCGGGCCTAATTTGCATACAGATATCTGCACCGTAATTTCGCTAGTCAAAACTTAATTCAACGATATCTGTAATTAGCATTTTGACTAGGCAGAATGAAAGTTACAGATATCTATGGCAAGCCATTTTAACATTTAACAGCTAGAGCTGGATGTGTGTTGCAGATATTCCTAATTCAGTTTTGCTAGTCCCAAAAGACATTTTAGATATCCGCGAATACATTCTTCCCTTCGATAATTGTCATTTCAATATCCAGCAAAGACATTCTTCTAGACAAATGACCGTCATTTTGCCATTCAATTGTATGGGGTTTATGCATTTACCGGATATCTACAATTCAGTTGCAGATACCCACTATGTGAATTACGATATCCTGCATTGAATTGTGATATCTGTAATGCCCAGTTAGAGATATCTAATTTGATTCTGACCTAGTCATAACTCCAGTTCAAGATATCTTTAATTCCACCTCAATTCAAGATATCTACATGTTCCTTTACAGATATCTTATAATTAAGTTTGACTAGGCAAATGACGTTGTTAGATATCTGTAACTGGAATTATGACTAGTCAAAATAGCCGTTGTAGATATCTCAACCTGGGGGGTTAGGGATAGTCCATTGAATTTAATTGAGATATGCCTATTATGAAGTTTCATGATATTGAAATTAATTTTGATTAAGATATTGAAATTGGAGTTAGCTGTAACTTTTCATCTGCATAGCAAAATGTAATTACAGATATCTTGAATTAGAGTTTTGACTAGCCGAAATTACGTTTGCAGATATTCTGTATGGCAAATTAGGCCCGCATCCCACCCTTAGGCGGGAGCAGAGGCATGTTGTTGTTCAATCATCCAAATCACATAGAACTAGCAAGCTGTTAACTGTGTAGCTTAATTAGTCTGTCGGAGCCAGCCAGAGGGGAAGAGTGTTTTAATCCGCCTTTTTAATGCTGCAGCCCGTACAACCACATGAACGTCCATGCAGCAAAATTTGCATCGTCCCATATTGAGTTTGAATATCTTCTTTTCCATTCTGCCTATCCAAAACTGATTACAGATATCTGCATTGTCATGTTAAGATGTCTGACGAGTTGAATGTCGTTTCAATGACTTCATTGCAGATATCTGTAATTCAGTTTTGCTAGTGACTGACTAGTCACAATTACCTTAGCGATATCTTTGAATGACAATTTCGACCATATCCAAAATGTATTGCGATAGTCAGAAGACGTTGTTCGATATCCTAGCAATGTTAATCGCGGATAGTCAAACATAGGCCGTTTTATTTAAAGGGGCTTGCCCATTAGTAATCTCCAATTTCAGATATCTCTAAATCAAAATAATTTCAAGATATCTATACTTCATATTATGATTATCTACAATTAAATTATGACTATCCTAACTTCCAGTTTGAGTATCTACAACGCTATTTTGACTAGTCATAATTCGCAGTTACAATATCTAGCAACTCATTTCGCCTAGGTCAAAACTATTTAAGATATCCTGTAACGGGAAGCATGTAGATATTCTGAATTGAAGTGAATTAAAGATATCTTGAACCTGGAGTTATGACCCTAGTCCGAATCAAATTGTAGATATCGTCCTTAACTGGCATTACAGATATCTATCAATTGCAATTGGCAGATATCCGTAATTCACATAGTGGGTTCTGGCAACTGAATTGTAGATATCCGTATGATATAACCATACAATGAATGGCAAAGTGACGTCCATTTGTCCTAGGAAGAATGTCTTTGGTGGATATTTGAAATGACATTATGGGAGTAGGACCAGAAAGGGTTTGCGGATATCTGAAATGTTCTTTTGACCTAGGCAAAACTGAATTAGAGATATCTGCAACACACATCCAGTTCTGAGCTGCTTAAAATGTTAAACGGCTTGCCATCACGCGGATCTGATTGGTGGAGTGTTGCCGCTTTGACCCTAGGCGAATCAGTGAGTCTGCACCGAGAAAACCGAAGTGACGATGGTAACATACTACCCCAACGTCCAGTATCTGTTATTATTAGCCATTGTATTTTTCCGTTCAGCCGAGTAATGACATACGATCCTTGTTGACCTACTATCAACACTCTCTGATGAAACATGACTGACGACGCGTGCTCTGTGTTTACTAGGTCTACAGTGATCCGTCCATTTTCCGGTTTTCATTGTTTTTGGGCGACAGGCACAGATTAGGCCGCCGCCTGCTTTATGGGGCGTATCGCCTCGCGCATGCGCAGAACGTACGCTCCAGTTGGCGTCGGTTTGGTTTTTTCGGTAGGCATTTTTTGACCGACTCGAGGAAACCCGGGAGCCGACTGTCAGTCCGGACGCTTTTCTGCCGACCGGTCGGCCCCGTCGGGGTTGGTGTGCGGAGGCCTTTACTAAAAGGTCTTCTTCAGTGTGGGCAGAAAAGGCTAATTACCATGGCCTAAGTGTCTGGCAGATCTTGAGCTGCCTACCAACTGCATGTCTTACATTGCAGCCCACAGCTGGTCCAGCTGTTATATTTCTCTCCATAAAAAGGTTTTAAATGGGTCAATGTGATACTAATACAACACGTGTAATATGTGAATCAAATCTGCAGAGGTTATACAGTGTTTTATGCAGTACAATTACTCACAATAGCTTGTTAAAAAGCAAACTGATGGATATTGGCTGGAAGTGGAGAAAATCTTTGGGTTACATTGTTGCTTTCATCTTGGTCTGAGGTTTCTTTCATGTGGTTGACAGATTGCAAGGGGCCAGTACGCATTAATGCAGATGACCCCCCCATCATCATCAGTTAAGCATTGTGCGCTGTAAACATTTGAATGGTGCATTAGATGAAAGCTATGTTTGACAGACAATGGCAGATTGTTCTAAACAGAGCACCCAAAGGTCAAAACAAGAGGCTCATATTACTGCAACCAGAGACATCGTGACAGAAAGACACACACAATACTCTGTATAATTAATCTCTCTTTTTTGAAGGCACTAAAATCTGAAAAACTTAATGAGCCAACACGTGTCTAGGTGTCCAGTACTGTGAACTCAGCATCACTGTCATGTTAAATTGTCATTCATCACCCGGTCAAATGTCATTGGCTGTCTGCACTCCCTGCTGCTGACAAGCACCACACAGCATGAGGCTGTCATCACAAAGTTTTCCTGGTAGGGAAGCTGGCAGACTGGTGATAAGCTCTGCCCAGTTTCTGATTGACACATTGCTTCATGTTACAGTTGAGTGCTTCAGTTTTCATCTCTGTGACACCCAACCAAGTCTTTCACCTCATGCTCGGTGAGTCTTTCATGTGCCTTTTTGCAAACTGCAGCTTGACTTGACGTGACCTTTTTTCCAGGCATCTTTTTCTCTGTTAGTCCTCTCTGCTCAGATTTGAGAAGTGCTACTCTGACTGTTGTGCCTCCCTTTGCAGCTAAAGAGCACTGCTGTTTGTTTTTTTCCCTTTACGATCCTTGCCATCTTGGTCTCCTCCCTGAGGAAGGTTTTTCTTTCCTCATTGCTCAGTTTAGTCAGCTGTTGGAAAAATGTGAGTGACATTCAACGGGTATGAAAGTAGTCAACTGGAATAGCCGATGGTGCTCTCCCTCCCCCTCCTCTAATGTCTGCCTCTCCACTAGGATATGTCACGTAACATACTTTGGTGGATACACTGAGAAAGAAAATGCCTTACAATAGACTGCAGAAAATAGTAATTTGGTGAAAGATCTCCCCAAGAGGTGTTTTAACATAAAAAAAATGCATCTTACTTTTAATCCTTTAGTTTTCTCCTTTAAAAAAAAATAAAAATAAAATATTTAAAATTCTTAAAAGCACATCTACTTCTCTTGCTCATAGAAAAATCTGCTGGAGGTGTCCAGTTTCCACATCACATTTGGATGTCACAATACATCTCATATATGCAAACCTTACAAACGCGATTTAAGATGAACACAGCAGAATGTGAAAAAACAATCCTTTTGTGTCAAACTTTCACTGTGCAGAATGATGTATGTGCAAAGTAAAGTAACCAAGAAATAGACACTTACGAGTGTTGAAAATGTGTATTTCTTACACATTTGAGTGGATGGAGACTTTTTTCTTGTTTGTTTCTTGTGTGCCATTCTTTTCATCCTGTGCATTACATTAAGAAATTACACTGCATTCATTTTGCAGACACTTTCATATACAGCTACTTACAATAAGTGCATCAATCTTGATAGGAACATGAGCTAGAAGCCATCAAAGCTGGAAGAGCAGCCCTTTCAAACAAGCATGTTCAGTTTAATAGTACAAGTGCCATATTTCTTTTCCATCTGATGCCTGCTTGATTGCTTCTTTCACTGCATTTTCTTTCTTTTTCTTTTGTTGCTTGCTTAGTATTATATATATTTTGCAGTAGTAGCAACAGAGGTAGAGTCTTTTCCCTATTTTTTCTCCTATGTACAACCGCATTGTTCTGCAACATGGAAACATAAACACCTCAAGCGAAATGATTTCCCTTGGTGTTATTGATTTGGCGCCTTATTGTTTAGCATTCAAAGCAGTCAATGTTCTTATGAACTTTGGAGTAAATGAGTAAATAAAAGACAGCAAAAATCAAAACAATGGACTTTTAGCATGCATATTCTACCTAGACATAATCAGTATTTAAAATCTTATATCACATCAAACCTAATCAAATATTATTTAAAATGTATTTCTGATGAAGCATACTGTGCTGTTATGAAATCCCAATGCTTCATAAAATGTTTTGTACGCTCCAGTTCGATGCCTTTCTGATTTCTGCAAGACAAGCTCTGACACCCATGGGGTCTTTAAACAGACACATGCTGTGTTTTGATTTGAGTCATGACCAACAGTCGAATTGGCTACAGCTGAGCGCCGATAAAAAAACATCTCAACACGATTCAGAGGAATTTAAATTTGAATTCACTGTCTAGAAAAAGAGCTGTATAGTTCAAAATACTCAACATCAATTAAATACTTTTGACGTTATTAATGATAGAATTTAGTGTCAGCAATAATTTGATCATTTTTGTATTCAGGCTGCAGCATCAAAAAAGGTCTAAATCTACATTGGCAGGATGCAAATGGTGATCTCCTGTGTTAAAGGCACATGATTTTAAACAGACAACCCATATAGTAATTTTTTTCTGGCCAAGTAGCCTTGGTACATGGGGTGCCAGCTTTGCCAGGTGAGCTACCAGGGTGCCCCATTTATTTGGACTTTCATGCTCCACAGGAGATTAACCAGTAACATCAACAGATACTATGGGAACTTTCCTCCAATGTCAATTTATTACACACAATACCTCATAATCTTATAGCTTCAGTGAAACTGAACTTAGCATATTTATATTCCCAAGGGAACGAGCCCTTTTAATGCCCCCATGGCCTTTCCTAAAGCATAAAAACCAACAATTTCAACCCCACTACTGGCTCCAAAAATGGTTAAATCAGCATGTTTTGCTTTTCTTATTTCTAAATAATGTACTATGCAAATGTTTTATCAATTTGTTCAATATTTTTAATTAGTTTTTTTCCACCAAAAAAAAAAATGTGCTCAGTAGGTGGTGATTTTAGAGCTCGCCCACTTATCTGTTGCTGCACCCTAACCCTAGCTTCCTGTTCCACAAATCTGAAACGTATTTGGGAGACCTCCGGTTCAGCCTATTTTAATTGTCTTTTTAACATGACTCATAATTGCTAATCGCTCACAGTGTGCAGCAACTCTGCTGTGAATATTACAAGACGCTGTATTAATGTTACATGAACAAGGACTATTTATTTATTTTCTGTGGCAGCAAGCGCAACACACAGCTTTTCAGTAACTATTACCTTGTACCCTAAGCTTATACTTAAGAATGTAACTATCCCTCACACACTGGGAAATAGTCACAACAAATAGACTCCATCTTCCTTCTGGGGAAAGGCGGTGTGTATATTTACTATTGTTCTTTAATAAAGCCAAAGTATTTATCTGATTAAACAATTAATCAAAGGAGTAATCAGTAGAATATTTGAATACTAAAATAATCTATAGCTGCAGCCTTACTTCACACAACTGAGAAGTTATTTTGTCTGACTGTTATTTGCCAGTACAAAAAGAAAACAGAGTGCGATAACGCCATTCACAGTGTGGCAGATGTCACTGGTGTCTTCTAAAATGGCTCAGGATGGATGCTTTCTGCCAGAAAGAGATTTTTATAAAACTTGATTCTAAATACAATAATCTATTGCAGAGCCAATAAGCTTTCATTCTTGTTTACTTCTAGTAGCTGCAAGCTGCCCATCATTTGTTATGTCACTGCAGCAGAGATTTAATCATACAAAACACTCTGCCAGCTGGATTTCCCCAAACTCCATGTCAGGATCTGACATATCCCTGATTTAGACAATAATGACAGATTACACTTTTTTTGCTGCTCTGAAGAGGCAATTATTAATACGTCATAGTAACCACTCTAGAATAATTTCTGAAGGTGAATAAGGCAATGTAGTTGATTCCCAGTCACTGCAATGCTTTTGTCTTCCATTTGTCTTCTTATTGTTCTTATATTTAACAAGAGACATGCAGAGACAAGAAACATTTTTTTATTATTATTTTTAGCTGACTTTCCACATTGGGTTAGGTCCAAATCAGATTTATTTCAAAAAGCCTGAGAACCGTGGGCACTGCTCCTGCTCTCACACACACTTCAGAGTGGAGGAAAGAAACAGTGAAAGTTGACAATAGTTGCACAGTGCAGAAGCTTTGAGTAAAAACAGCTGTGTGGCAGCTGACTAGAACAAAAGATCGGATCCGATCAATGAAGCTCAATATAGCCGATACCAATCAGTTAAAAGATGCATTGATTGGCATTGATACTGATCGTTGAGATCGGATTGGGACATCCCTAGTTGCTGATCCCTGGACTGGATCACTTTACCTTTTCCTTAGTGAAAACCAGGGTTATAAGGAACCAGTCTTAGCGCGAACAGTGCTGTCATTGTATGGCAGTTACACTGTAAATGCAACATTGACTTTAAAATTATAAGTTAAAGCAAAAAAAGTTGTCTTCAAGAAAGCACTGCAGCTGTAGACAGCCTATGTGAAGAATCTGAACTCCCAACGACAATCACTTGCCTTAAGAATTGCTCATTTTGACATGACAGAGATTTGTGTCATGGAGAGTCAACTGCCAAGTCCAATCGGCACAATGTGTAAAAAGCCCTGGTCTTATTTATGCATGCAGAGAAGACTGTCTCCTCCATGACGAATCGAAAAAGTCAACTCCTCTGAGCCTTCTTTACTTTTGATAGCCGCAGAAAACAATAGGTCATTTCATGATCATAAGAAGGTTCATGCTGCATGGGATGGCCTCCATGCACGTACACCTTAGTAGTCCATATTAATGCAATTTTTAAATTGGAAAAACAAAGGCAGCCCTGCTATGAATGAAATGATATCAATGATTAGTGTTAAGGGTCAGGGTTAATTAAAGGATTAAGAAGGCTAGCACACCTGTAAAGCAGTTGCTCCAGATAAAAATTAAAATGGTTTATTCTCTGTATGGTGTTCATTTGAGGATATGTCAGGCTCAGTTCTACGGGAATGCTATAGTGTTTACATGTGTACAGTTATGCTCAGATTGCATCAGAAGACATTCAAGCCAATTAATCTATTTGCATCATCAGAGAATTGAGACTTGGTTCTGATACAGACCCTCATTACTTGCTGATGTTTGGCACATAATATTTGCTAATTCCAGATGTTTGTGGATAAGCATTAATTTGTAACTGAGGCTGACAGCAATCAGGTAATTAGGTTATGCAGTATCCTCATAAACGGAAGTGTTTAATTTTTTAACTGTTGGTGGTGCAAAATCAAAAGTCAGGGTATCAATAAAGTTGTTACAGTTAATCCTGCGGTAGACTGACTTTACCCGTATTTCATGGTAAACGATACAGTAGTAGTTGATGAGACATTCCCTCAGAACCACAATTGTCAGATGGAAGGGGAAGGGGAAGGGGAAGGGGAAGGGTCTTTCTAGCCAGATTGGCTTATTTTGACATGAAACAAGACATTGAAAGCTTTTAATTACTGTCCTGCTCACCTGTAATTATGTTGTCAAGAAGAGTTGTGGGCATGCAGAAAATCCCAACCAGGAGGTCACTCACAGCAAGGTTTAGGATGAACAAATTGGTGACAGTCCGCATGTTTTTGCTCCTCAGCACGATGAAACACACCACTCCATTTCCCACCATGCACACGAGGAAGATCAGCAGATAGGACACGATGAAGATGGCTGCTGTGGACGGCTGATGCAGGTAAAATCCAACATAGGTGATGTTGTTCCTGGGCGGGATGGACTCCACGGAGGAGTTGTAAAATGTCCAGTTGTCATACAGTTGAGTCAAGTTGTTTTCAAGTCCTTCGTTCATTTTAAACCTGAAAAATGAAAGCGCAGATGACTTCATGCTATTTCAAACAATGGTAAAGGCATAATATTGAAGGCATAAGAAGAACTTTTATGAAGTGTTTTAAAACATAGTTGTTGTTGACTACAGTGGCTGCCTTCATGAGAAGAGGAACTAACAGAACCAAGGCTAGAAAGTAAAAAAAAAAAAGTTAAACCTTTGAACTATAATTATGACGTTAATAAAAAAAACAATGATTTAGATGAAGCGTTGCTCTTTCTGCTCTAACATCATACTGTGAGCATTTCAGAGGTTACTGTCTTGCATTAAGTGCTGTTGGTATCCCTACTTAGCCCTTATGCCCCCTTCAATTGCGACTGAAGTGTTTTAAATTTCCAGAAACAGCCCTCAGAGAAGGAATTTTACTTTTTTGTTTTGTTTTACAAGAGTCTTGTTTGATTAGTGAATGTCATTGCCAAATATCCTTGCTCTTTGATTGTAATGGTTTATGACCAAAACCTCATGTCTACTGTTACCAGCTACCAGCCCTAATTCTTTTGATCAATTGATTAAACAGTTGTTCTACAGAATATCTGAAAATAGTAAAAATTGCCTGTCTCAATTTCCCAAAGCCTGAGACAAGGACTTCAAGTTGCTTGTTTTGTCCAAAGTTGATCAGTTTATGATCACATAAGATTTAAGAAAAAAAGCGTTTCTAGAAGCCGGGGCTAAGCCCAGACCATCTGGGGCTGAGGTCAGGATGTGTGCAGAATTGGGCGGCCCCTGCTGTTCTGCCTGGACACTACTGCCTTAATTTTATTGAATTTTACCACATTATATGACTACTGCAAACATTTTTAATAGTAATGTTAAGACAATTCTTCTGGACAACATGGACATCTGCAGGGCAACTGAGAATTCTCAAACCTATGGCACCGGTGTGCGTAAGCCTCAATTAGATAATGCGTTTCAGTGTGTGTGAGAGCGTGCGTGCGTGCGTGCGTGCGTATCTGTTAACAGCTAATCGCACATACTTCTACCATCAGCCTAATATTTTTCGTGCATATTCATGTTCATATGCTCAAGGACCTCTTGTGGTTATGATGATTCACAGTTTTTGAAAATTCTTAAAAAACCTATACCATTGATTTCTCTGTTTTATACCGACTACTGACCCCATTACTCCTCTTAACTGGCCGGCCTACTCCATTGTAAGCTTACTAAAAACAGACACATTCAGTAAAAGAAGAAAATTACTATTGCAAACGCAATGCAATGCAACAACAACAATTCAAACGCTGTCTCTGCCCCCAACAGCTGCTTCTGGGGTGCACAGGTGGATTTTTGGAAGTCAACAGCAGGGGCAGTATCTACCTGTGAAATTATAGAGTGGATATGCATCAACAATAGCTGTTGCGATAATGAATCCTGCTCATTATGTCTGATTATAACTACGTGTAATCATGCTTAGATGTTACTAATGTGGCCATGCTTGGGGGCAATAGCAACATTTAGACAGAACAAAATGTATTTATTACCTGTCAGGCTGACCTTCTAGGCTTTACTGATGTTTCCACCTTCAAATATTTCCTTCATTAGCTCTGTCACCTTCTCTGACCGTTTAACAATCCCTCCTTTATGACTGATGCTGATAGAAATGCCTCCAAGGGCTAGCCATTTTTTGGAGTTTGGTTCTACATCACTGACAACAATAAACCTCACAGTTGGTAAAATCGTGTAATAGGCTTACTGATGCTTTCTCTGTGTGAATGAGTTAAATAAAAAATAAGTGTGAATAAAACATGACTGGGCAAATAGAGGGCTCGAGTTGCTAAGGGACGTATAGACTTTGAAAGCTATTTAAATTGCATCCAACTTTGCAGTTCTAATGACTTATTTAGAGACGTAGATGTGTCCTTGTGGTCTTTAAGCGTGATGCTGTGTATCTAAGAATTGAGATAAAGGTAGACCTAATTATGGCTAAAGTAATGCACTTTCTGAGATTTCAATCAAAGTCCTTTTTTGCTTTGTTCTTGCTTTCCCACAGCCTGGACACTGCACATGTGGGTAACAGGCAGCACTATAAGATCTACAAAATGGACGCAGTATAAAAAAATCTAATATCAAGGACATTATCAGAGGGCCTCATAAACAAGGATTTTAAATTTGTACATGTAGAACAATGTCTCCACAGACTTGCATGATGCTTTTTGACTTTTTGTTTTAATTTTTTGTTGTAATTTCAGACAGTAAATGGAAGACAAATACCACTCCTAAAATGTATTTGTGCGTACACCAAGGACATGGTAGGTCCACAATATTCCTCTGGATCAGATTGTTTAGGAGGTGATGAGCGACACACTGTGGGACTCAACCTCATTTTACCCATTTCTCTTCATTTTTGGCCGTAATCTGATATCTCAGATCTGGTCTTGAACCTGGGGTGACAGATGGTTTCAGATGACATCTTCCTGATTAAGCATCAAAATGTGATGATTTAATACTTACTCTGTCCTTACAATGGCTTATACTCTCTAAAACTGAAAAGGATTTGCTATACTTCTATGTCCCTACGGGGTTTAAATGAGTCAGTTCTACTAGAGTAAGTGTGCCTATGGATGCTTGAGCTGTATTAGATATAATCAGCTAGTAAGTAGTCTTTAGTATGTATGAGGCAATACATTTACTAGTATCTCAAGTCTGTTTCTGTATTAATGTACAGACCTACAATAAGATTAATCAATGTAGATCCTACTATAAAACACAATCTTGCTAATGTTGATCACAAAATCCATGTCATTAGTCATTAATTATGTCATTAGCAATGCCTTAATTGCTAATGACAAAGAAATTGAGTCTTCCTCCGTATCCATTTTTTTTTATTCATAAGATTCAGTGATTTGCTCAGTGAGTCTACTGCTGATATAATAGAAGTTCCCCTTTCACCCACAGCTGGTGAATTTGTATTACAATTGTTTGACCAGAGAGGAATCATTGTGGTGTGTTAAGATAGTTCTTGCTCTCTTTAAAATTTCAGTCTTCCTGTTATTTGGTAAAATGTTTGTATTGTAAAAGTGCAGTTAACATCAGTCATTCCAGGGCTTTAATGGAAATCATTAGTATCCAGTGAAAGGTCTAAGGTATAAAGGTTTCAGAAGCTTTTTCTACCCTAAGAGGAATAACATTCTATGGAGACACTTAATAACTCAAATTCATCAATCTCCTTCTGACAACTACAAGCTTCTCATCATGTCGAGTTTCCCTGATGTTATTGCACTACTTCAGTCTCACAGAATAGCTTCTACGGGCTTAAAGCTAACACTGTCTAGATGTCCCAAAGATGACAAAACACGATTGTGTACAGCAATGACTATCACTGTTCACATATCTCATAAATCATTTTAACTGTCCCTCACCACCAATTAACATAAATAATCTATCACCTGCCAGCAAATTCATCTTCAGATAAACATGAGCGTACCCAAAAAAAAGAGAGAGAAGACAGCAAGAAAATCCCAGAATGTGCATGTTCACCAGCCCTCTATAATCTTAATCCTACTTTAATTCCACTTAATTTCTTTGTTCTGTCACTTTCCTAAGATAAAATGAGTACTGTGATCACAGTATGTATGTTTGTGTCTTTCAAGGCTACACTAAGCATGCTTGTTTGTCCTCAGTTTGAAATGTGCATATCCCCCTCTAACAACATCCATGTTATTTAATGGCCACAGTGAGGGGATGCCAGCAGATGTTTAGAGGCTCATTGCATGCAGTGAAACAAGACCAGTAATGCCACTGATTTCCCCTCAGCACCACTCAATGCAGTTGGTATGCAGTTATTCGTCTCATTCACTTCTACCAGCAGCAGGCGGGACCTGCACTGGTGGATCAATGTATAGACCAGAGCAGTGTTGGCACAAAAGAGCAGTCTCTGCGCTTCACATGCGCTGATGGGAATGAACTGCTTACAGTGCTATTTCGATTCTGATTGGAATGAGATTGGGATTGTGATCAGGGTGCAAACTTGAGGAGCTGACTGAATAACATGCATGACTGACCACTTCTGGACAAAGAGGTTTCTGTGTCCAAATGAGACTGGCGCATCAAAGCCAAAGAAACTGTCAGGACAGAGAGCAGGATGGAGAATCGGACAGGAGCGAGACACTTGAGTTACTGACCTGAAAGCTCTGCGCATTGATTGCCTAAAACAAGCCTATAATGAGCTTTGGTTGCAGTGAGTCCGAAGTTAAGGAATTCGATCAAAAGATGATTTTTAATTTGTTTTAATGAATTTCACTGTCAAGTATCCAGCTGTAGCCACACCTGTGGCACCTGGCGTTTCTTTATTTGTACTGTTTAGACGGTAAAATAACGCTAATAAACTTGTCTTACCTTATTTTATTTCAAATCAAACTGGCGATGGGCTGTGTGCTTTGAGGGTAAAAAATGTCCACTTTCCTCTGACTAGACATACGTACATCAGAGAGAAAAACAATACGCAGACCACCGTGGAATAAAAATAGATTCAAACTCCGTTCCCCCTGCAGTCTTCAGTATCAGTCCGGTTTCATGTGCGTCGCTGGGAAGCGCTTCATGTGGCACAGGATGCGCTCAGCCAGCCGCTCAGAGCGCAAGTGGAGGATTTACAGCCGGAGCCGTCCGTATTTGATGCGGTGACGTCGGGAGTGAAGGGGGTGGGATGAAAGCTGGATGAGCGGGCTAACGGTTGAGTGATACCCCCCCGATCTCGTCCAGCTGCTGTCTCTGAAATGTCAAGAGTCTGCTATTTAAAAAAAAAAAAAGTCTAATGTGACGATGATAGTGAGAAGGCAGGTCACAGATGGTCGCCGGGCACAGATTCCACTGTATTTGATTGTAAACACAAACAGAATTAACGCCCACTGCAAACACACACACACACACACACACACACGCACATTAGAGCAACTGAATTCTGTCTGAAATATACAAATAAATTAAATGTGAAGCAGGCCAACATGCCCCCAGTTGCCAGAATTTAGTGG